TTTTAAATTTATTGCGGAGTATGGTCTTGATGCTGGTCTATGCCTAATTTCTGCCAAACTGCTTCTTTTCGGCAGTTATTATCAAATAGAGAATTCTTTCTTAAGTAATTTATGTTTTTAGGTTTATTGAACCTAAAATAATTTGGTTGGTTAGGTAATTCTAACTAGCCAAACTTAAATTCTTACATAAGTCCCACCTGAACTTTTGAATGCTTCACGTTTCTAATAAATTCTCACCTCCTGGGGCTTTGCTCAGTCCCTCATTCTCAACAATGGCAGTATCTGGTTCTAGAGTACTTTAAATTTTACTTCCAGTGGTGCTCTGAGGGAAATCATGTAATTATTCCATTTTGCAGACTGGAGAGTTGAGTGCCTTAAAAACTTAAGTGACCTGCTCAAAGCTCTCACACCCAGTAAGTTTTGGAGCCAGGATTCAGACTCAGGTTTTCTCACTCCATGACCATCCTACTACTCTGCCGCTAGAAAGTTTCCCTGGCCTCCCACCCTTTCTGCAAATATTCCCTATCTTTCAAGATTCAGATCCAGGCAGCAGAATTATATGATAGAAAGAAGCTTAGATTTGGAGTCAGAAGACCTGGTTTCAAATCCTTGCTCTGACAAGATGCTTAGTAGTAGGGAAGTTCTTCCCTTTTCTGAATCTTTTGTTTTGTTTTGGTTTTTTATGTGTAAAATGAGAAGGTAATTCTAGATAATCCGTAAAGATATTTCCAGGTATAAATTCTGTGCTCCCAAGTCTACATCCTCTCTGAGGCCATTTCTTTAGCATACAATGGTCTCTTCTTACGATGAATTTCTAGAATTAAGCACTTAGTGATATGCTGCTGGCTCACAATTGTCTTAGACGTCTTTTATTTCCCCTGCAGCAGCCTAGCACAGTTCTGGGCACATGAGTGAATGCTCAGTAAATACTGATTGATTCTTCTAGGTACATGGCAACATCTGGTCTGGACCACCAGGTGAAGATCTTTGACCTTCGGGGAAAGTACCAGCCTCTGACATCTCGGGCTCTGCCTCAGGGAGCTGGCCACTTGGCATTCTCACAGCGAGGATTGTTGGCTGGAGGCATGGGGGATGTGGTGAACATATGGAGGGGACAGGGGCAGGGTAGTTTTCCCTCCTTTGACCAGCCATATCTGACCCATCGTCTCCGTGGCCACGTCCATGGCCTTCAGTTCTGCCCCTTTGAGGATGTGCTAGGGGCAGGCCACAGCAGAGGCTTCACCAGCATCCTGGTACCTGGTAAGCTGGGATGAGGGTGGAGGGGGAATAGGGTCACAGCACGAGCATCAGCAGCTTGCTGCTGCTCAGTGAACAGAGGGGATCAGACAAAGGGCCCAGTGTAAGCATTACTAGCATGCCGGTTCCCAGCTTACTCCCTAATACTAATAATGGGTAGCATTGCTATAGTGCTTTAAGGTTTGCGAAGCTCTTTGCAAGTAGTAACTTGTTTTGTCCTCACAACGACCTGGGGAGGGAGGTGATGTTATTATCCCCATTTTACAAATAAGGAAACTGAGGAAGGCAGGTTAAATGACTTCTTTAGGATCACACAACTAGTAAGTTATATGAGTCAGACTTTGGACTCAGGTTTTCCTGACACTCGGTGTAGCATTCTATCCACTGCCATCAAGATGTTTACAGATTACCTTGAGATATGGGAGATTAGGAAAGCAGGGGATAAGAGGAACAGTATAAATATCAGCATCCTGCCATTGCCTAATGATTTACGAGATCAGAAGTAAGCACAGATGGCTTTGGAAGGCAGTAAAGAATGAATGGGAGGGCACACACTGTGGATAAAAGGGGACTCGGGAGGAGAGAGGGGATGAAACCAGGGGAAGATGTTTCCAGGTTTAGTTTCTGTCCCTGAAATTGTGTTCCCCCACTTCTTAGGGGCTGGAGAACCCAATTTTGATGGACTGCAGAGTAACCCCTATAGGAGCCGTAAGCAGCGTCAGGAATGGGAAGTGAAAGCTCTGATGGAGAAGGTGAGTGCATAGCTGGGTTCTGGGGCTCACCTGAGAGCTTTGGTGGAGGAAGGTGAAGAAATGTCTGTGTGAGTGTCTGTTTTTAAGATTGGGGGGGTGAGGGTGCAAATATACCTGTGTGTGAGGTGAGATGGGTTTGGGAATGTGTCAGAATGGGAAGTGGAGAATAGAAGCTGGAGGGGTGTGTGTGCAGGTAAGAAGGGTCAGGCTTGTTAATTCCCATGGGTGAGACTTGGCCCTGTGTATAACCCTGATCCTCCTCCTGTGCCCCTTCCATGACACTCTGTGATACTATCATTGTCCCTGCTCTTTCCTTATGACACCTCCAGATCCCAGCGGAACTGATCGACCTGGATCCTCGGAATCTAGGTGAAATTGATGTCATCTCTTTGGAACAGAAGAAGAAGGAACGAATAGAGCGACTGGTGAGAAGATCCTTTATATCCCCCCTCACCCCCCCGACCCCCCAATATAACCAACCCCAGACTCTTCTTAGAGAAGCAGTTTGGCATGCATAAAATACACTGGATTTGAAGTCAGAAGACTTCAGCACAAAACCTGGCTCTGTCCCCTAAGATCTGTGTGACTTTGGGGAAGGCATTTTCCATCTCTGGTCACCATCTGTGAAGGTGAGGAGCTCAGAGGACAACCAGAAAGTAGGTAGAAGATGTCAGGAGGCAAGTCTGTAATCCTGGACGCCTTCCTTCTCCCGCCTCTTCACAGAAAGAGGAAATGGGTGATCCCTGACTCACCACAACCTCATCCAAACTAAGGCTTACCTCTTGTTCGGTGGCAAAAATAAGGACAGTTCCCTGCACAGAGGCCTTTCTGGAGAAATACCCCTGCTCCCTCAGGGAGTGCTCAGGAAGTAAATCCTGTCGTTTTACAAGCCAGTCGCTTCCTTCCCCAGGGATTCGACCCCGAGGCTAAGGCCCTCTTCCAGCCAAAGCAGAAAAAAAAGGGACGGAGTTCTGCAGCAAACTTGGTGAAGAGGAAGACAAAGGTTAAAGACCAGGAGCACAGGGTAAGAGGAAGTAGGGACATGGAGGGAGAGTGGAGAATGAGTGAAGGAGGATGGACGTCTCACAGAGTACAGGCTCTCCTGTCCACCAAACTGCCCCGGACCAGGGCCCACCCTCCCAGCCTCTTTCCCATACTTTGCTGTCTTCCTTTCAGGAGAAGGTCAGGCAGAGCCTTCAGCAGCACCAGGAGCAACAGCAGAAAAAGAAGAAGAAACTCAGAACTCCTCCATCCCCTGGGTCTCGGCCTTCTGCTCTGGATAGATTTAAACGCTGACAAAACCTCGCCTTCCTGCTCTCCTGCCCAAAAGGGATTGGACATCGGGGTTACAGGGGTGGGGGGTGTGTTAAAGAAAAACTTGGGTTTTTATTTATACTTTGTATGAGGATGGCCATCGTTGTCATGGAAGCACTGTTGTGGTTTGGCTAACCTGCTTATCTCCAAGTGAGAACAGTAGAAGCTTCCCATTTTTGGAATCATTGACAGCTTAGTAGTTCTTAGAGCCTTCAATCATAGACTCTGAATTGGAGAAGACTTAAGAGACCATGGTCTAACAGACTTTTCACCTATACCTGAATTAATTAATCCCTTCTAAGAGATTCTCAACAAATGGGGCCCACTCAGACTCTGATATTATTAAGGCACCTGATTCTAGTAAACACCTCTACTTCAGTTTTTCCTTACATTAATCCTAAATCTACCTGTAGTTGCCTAACAGACTAGCTGAACAGTTCTTGGTAAATAGACATAAGTGTTAGCGGTTATTTTTTTGTTTACAGTCATACCACATATATAGAACCCTCTAGCACCTTTGCAGTTTGAACCCAAATCCTGATAAACTGGTCTGTCAAGTTAATAGAGGCAGATTTAGGACAGTATTACAGTAGGGGAAAACTTTCAAATCCTCAAAGCTGTCCAAAAGTGGAAATGGATGGCTTGGAGTGGCAGTGGCTGGATTCCCCTCCCTGGAGGTCTTCTAAGCAGACGCTAGATGACCACGTTAGGAATCTTGTGGTAGAGCTTTTGTTCCTTCAGATAGTCCCTCAGACTATCTGAAGGATTCCCGGGACCAGTTGTGAACTAGAGCCTGAGTGGCCCACTCCTGCTGTAGCACTGAAATGGGTGTTTTGTCCACTTCCTAGCCAGTCCAAGACCCACGTACTCTTGGGTTTGCTGTGGACGCTGCTAACAGACCACCTAGTGACCTGAACAACATGGCCCCATGTACTCTAAAGGAGATCTGGATAGAAGAGTATTCGAAGCACCCTCATGCTCCTCCTGAATGGGGCCTTTATCATGCCTTATGTTATGACATTCAGGATATTTCTGGGGGAGGCAGGAAGTGACCAACTATGTGCCTGCTCTATCTATGGGAGGAAGCCGGAACTGAGAACAAGTAGCTAATGCTTGTCAACTGGACACTGGATTGTGGTCGTGGCTCTGGGGCTGAAAGGGGCCTCAGAGGACATGTGATCCAACCCTTTCTTTTAAAGAAGATGGTACCAAGGCCCAAGGAGATGGAGTGATTTGGTTCAGCCACTAGGTGGTACAGAGAATTAGTGTGCTGGACCTGACTTAGAATCCTGCCCCAGACACTGGCTGTGTGTGACCTTGAATAAGTCACCCCCTTACAAATAGGGATAACCATAGCACCTACCTCACAGGGCTGTTGTGAGGATCGAATGAGATAAAAATATGTAAATAAATGCTAGCTATTCTTTACCTCAGATCAGGAAGATGGTAAATGGAAACATGGAGAGACATAGAAAGGCACATATAGGATGTGATTAACAATCTACACATGATGCCTCCAAACTTCCATCCCATGTTCCTGGATCTGCTCTTTGGGCCAAAGAAAACAGTTCAGGTTGATCCATACCTGTCTTCCTAAGCATCCTACCTTTTTTTTTTTTAAAGGCAATTGGGGTTAAGTGACTTGCCCAGGTTCACACAGCTAGTGAGTGTCAAGTGTTTGGTCTGAGGCCGAATTTGAACTCGGGTCCTCCTGACCTCAGGGCCGGTGCTCTATCCACTAGCTAGCTTCCCCTTCCCCTTGGGCAGGCTCACTTTCTTCCCAGCTGATGTGGTTCCCAGAACGGAGCACAACTGAACTGTTACAGCTGGACTATAATCTCCCTAGACCTGGACACCACTCAATGGACCCTAAGATCACGTTTCATTAGTGTACTGTGGTCTCATATAAGACAGTACACGAAGTTGGGGCAAACAAGGAAGTTTTACTGAGAAATAGCTCTCACCTCTTTGGGGACAGTCTCAACTCTGTCCCCTTTGACCATCCCAGGATGGGGAGGAAGGCTTTTCTTTTCTCCCCTGTTGATCAGGGCCCATCTAGCCTCCCCCACATCCAGCTATCTTTGATCTGAGTCCTCTTTGGATACTTCCCAGCTCTTAAGAATGTGGAATGGGACTACAGATCAGGCCACTGAGTCCATGGGCTTGGGGCAGACGTCACTGCTTGGTGACAAGCTGGGATTGTTGGGGAGGAGGGATAAAAATCCTAGGGCAACTGCATCCCTAGTATCCAAACTCCACTGTGGCCCCAGCCCCTTCTAATTCCCTCCTTTTGACGCATCTCCAGCCCCAGCTCCTCTCCTGAGGACTCAGGTGTCATCAAAAATACCACCAACTCAGGATCCAGCATCTCACTATTCCCAGAGCTTCCTGAAGCCAGGAACAGAGTGGCATGTCCCCATTCCCTGAGGAACCCCTCACAAGCTCCCAGGCACTCTTCATCTCCCAGGGCTCCATGTGGTGAGAACTTAGCAATATCCTCCCAAGGCAGCATCGGTCAATGGGGTAGCGAGCAGCACCCGCTATCCGTGAGCTGTGGGTGGGGGCAACCCCCACCCTCTTGGCAATCACTCCAACAAAAACGTCCTCTACTGGTATTAGAGGTACACCGCCAGCTGCCCTCAGAATCAGCCGCAGTACTGGGGCTGACAACACATAGCCGGTGCCTGAACCATAAGGGGGAAAAGGACCCCGGGAAGAAGGCCACTGCACCTCTGACACCTGATGCCGGCTCCCCTTCAAGCGGGAAGGGTAAACACTCCAATGGATATGACCGAGGTACAGGTGGGGTACAGGAGGGTACAGGCTATGGGCACCCTCTGATTCTTTCTCTCCAGTTTTAGCCTTCCTGTCCGCTTGAACAATTCCTCTGTTAGGATCTCTCTCTTGTAAATGCTGTTTCAGGGCCTTTCCTCGCTGGTCAAGTTCAGCCACGAGCCCAGGGACATTGATGTAGACATCATCGTCGGTTTTGAGGACATAATGGACGTTGGGGCAGTACCTGGCTGCCCACGCCAGTCCACTTAAGGTTTTCAGGGTAAGGTTTCGATATGAGTCTGTGAAAGCAGCCTGCACGATATCCCCCTCGATCTGGGCTTCCCATTTCAGTACTTCTTTAATGTTTCCCCCATGACTATTATCAGGTTCCCCCAGTATAAAGAGTGTCCGGACCAAGTGACCTTGGATCTCCTGTAGACCTCCCCAGGAGGCTCGAATAGCATCTCTCTGCTCCTGATGCTCAGGGGCAGTGCTCACTAGGATCAGAAGGAAAACTTGGGAACCGGAACCTTTGCAAACCCCTACATTAGGGACCAGAAGGTGGGGCAAGGAGAGCGGGTGCCCAGGTGCAGCTGGGGCTGGCTTTGGGGGTGTGAAGGAGAACTCCCTTAGCTCAGACGGGCCAAAGATGGCCCAGACACACAAGAAAGCCAACGCTGCCAGAAGCATGCAGCGTGGATGAAAGAGGCAGGAGGACATGGTGGGGGGCACAGATTCAGATTTGGCAGTGACCTGAAAAGAGAGAAATGGTGGGGGGGGGGAGAAGAGTAGAGAGGATGAGAGTTGGAACACAGGGAAGGATCCCGCTAAGATAAAGTCATCTGGTTCTCAGCCACCTTCCAGAGATGGCCCTAGCTCTCATCTTTCATCCTTAACTCCCTGTCCGAGACCTAACATTCTCCTCCCCAGCTCCTGCTCCCTGAGAGAATGAGGACAGAGAAGGAAGGGGGGGGTTGGGCAAGGGGGCTGAGGATGCTGATTGCAGAGGATGGAGGAAAGGGCTGACAGATGCCAGGATGGGAAAAGCTGCAGAAGGGAAGGGTAGAAAGGGAACTGGGGACAAGGGGGCCACCAGGAGTGGGTTACCTTGTCTGCAGCACCCAGATGCCCTAAATCCTGCCTCCATGGTTGCGCTGGTTATCAGTGATGTGCACCCGCCTCGTTTCCTCGTCATCACCCTAGCCCCTCCTTCTAGCTTCCCTCCCTCCTCTTAAACACACCCCCAGGACTGCCTGCTGTCTGCTACCACCTTCGGCCTCATGGCTGCAGGGCTCCTCTTGGCCTCCGGTCCCTCCACGCCCCCTCCCCCTCCCCTTCCTTCTCCTTCCACCCGCATCTGGGTCTGGGTGGTGGTCCCTTCCCATTGTCATGCTCTGGGCTTCTCAATGGCTATCACTCTTCCTCTTTCTGTGTCCCTCTCTGAGACTAAAGCTGGGACGTCGTTTTATCATGGGGCAGCCTATTCCCCGCCTCTTCCCCCCCCATGCCTCCCGGTGCGGGACAGCAAGGGACGTTCTGCCGCCTTCCTTGGAAGGGGAGGTGTCCTCGGGCACGTCCGCGTCCGGCACCCTCGGCTCGGGCATCAGTTCCTAGGCAGCGGAGTCCGCGCTGCGCCCCAGTACAGCCACCCTTCACCCCTTTCCCAAGAAGGACATCTCACCTCCAGGAGCCCGTCCAGGACAGTGGGCCGTTGCCGCCCTTCCTCCGCCACGTGGTTGGGATCAGGGGTCTGGCTGGGAGAGGTCCAAGCCCACTTCCTTTAATTGGCAGCCAGACTCCACCCCCAGTACGTTTGCAGAAACCTGAGGTCAAAGGGGCGCGGGGTTGGGAGAGAAGTTGCTTTCTGGGCCCCGGGGTGCAATAAAGAGGCTCAGGCTGCTCCCCAGGACCAAGAGCTTTGTTACTGATAAGGTGGAGTGACTGGGACCTCAGCCAGCACCGCCCAGTCTGCAGTCCCAGCTCCAAAACTCAAAGACTTCTACCATCCAATGAATTCGATTAAATTGCCGAAACTACAGAGACCTAAGTTTGGGGACAGCCATAAGACATTGGTTTAAGAAATAAAAAAGGTGGGAGGGGTGTGTGTGCATAGGGTGAACAGTCCTAGTGTGTGCTTGTCTCTATAGCTTTGGACGTTTTTGGTCTTCTTTCAGCTGTAATGGAGAAAAAAGGAATGCATCTTGCCCACTGCTGAGATTTCTGAACTAAAAAGTTATTTAAGGAGAGACAGAAACCAGACAATTTTGATATAAACTATTTATTAACAGACAAGGCCAGTGAAGTTGTTTACTTCTTCTTGGACACGCCCACAGTGCGGCCCCTGCGGCCTGTAGTCTTGGTGTGCTGGCCTCGGACTCGGAGACTACAAGAAAGAAAAGAGACAAAGACAAGGATGGTAAAGAGTTGGCAGCCAAGAAGTCAGATGAGAGCCACTAGTGATCATTTCCCTGCACCCTTCATAATCTTGATATTTGACTCACTGCTCTGGAAACCACCAACTTGGCCCTGACCTATAAGATCACATTAACAACTGCTTGTACAAATAAAATTCAACATGGCTAAACTGAATGGCTCCCTTCCCCAAAATGTGTCCTAAGCTTTATAATCCATGCCAATGCCATATTCCCAAGTTATCCATGAGATTTCAAACTTCAATGACCCTTATTCCTGTTGACAAATCCCTCCTCTGCTTCTATAAATTTCACCACTCCTTTCCACACCCACAACTTGTACCCCAGGTTAGGCCCTTATTTTATACATAAAAAAAAATTATTTCATTAAATATCTCCCAACTATATTAGAAAAAACCCCAACAAACTTTAAACATTCCTTTAAAAATTTTCTGCCCCCCAACTTTATCACCTGTATTTTAACAGATTTTTTTACCTTCATTTCCCCCCCCTCAAAAATAATCCTCCCAGTGGCCAAAGCAATCAGGTTAGATCATATTACCACATCACACCTTTGTTTGAAAGCAGTCTCCTTGCTGACTCAACTCAAACTCTCAATCATTTAAGGCCTTCCACATTTGGATTGGGGAAGGACAGACCAGAATTTTTCTCTGCCTACCATTTATTCTTGCCTTACCTACCCATATTGCTCAACTCTGTTAGAGCTATACATTATTAGATTCTTAGGTGCCTATTTTTTGTACCATAATTTCACCTTCCCAGACCATAATCTGGAGGGAGCTACGTTTCAATCACCCTTCTATCTCCAGTGCTTCTATAGTTCCTTGTATCCAGATGGTATTTAATAAATACAAGTCAGAAGGTAGAGGTTCTGAGTCACCCCCTTATCACTCCCATCTAACTCACCCCCAGAAGTGCCGAAGTCCACGATGTGCCCGAATTTTCTTCAGTCGCTCCAGATCTTCACGCAGCTTATTGTCCAGACCGTTGGCCAGAACCTGTACAGGTGGACAGCATGTTTCTATTAGCCCTTCCTCTCCACCACTGTCTTATAAAGCTACAGTGACATCTTAACCTGCCTCTGTTCTATAACCTCCCTGCCCAGCCTCCCCCAGCTACCTGGCTATATTTTCCATCCTTTACGTCCTTCTGCCTGTTAAGGAACCAGTCTGGAATCTTGTATTGCCGGGGATTCTGCATGATGGTGATCACACGTTCCACCTGTGACGAGAAGGGGAACATGTGTAGTACAAGCCCAAAACTCCCTTCTGGAATAGATGCTCCCCTCACCCACTTCCAGTTACAACTTCTTACCTCATCTTCAGTGAGCTCACCAGCCCTCTTGGTGAGGTCAATGTCTGCTTTCCTCAGTACTACATGAGCATATCTTCGACCCACACCCTGGAGAAAAAAACAGTGTAAGGAGAGGCATGATCAGCAAAATCACCCTTATACAGCAACAGTTATTTGGTCTGGAAATGTTGACTTCTATGATTTCCATCTGGGCAATACTGCTTACTATGTACAGTTCTTATGTCAGTCCTTGGGCAATGAGAGGTTTGGGTCCTTGTTTTTATGGATAGATATCTAGCAATCTTACCAAACCACAAATGTGCTCCCCCCCCAAAACTTTTACTATCCTAACTTGGTCTATTTGCCTCTGTAGGTCCTACCCTCCTATCAACACTCTTCTGATGTCTGACTCGGGCAGAGCACACCTTCCCAACCCTGGGATAGTATACCTTTCTTTCTTAAGGTAGCCTGGGACCACATTAGCTTTTTAGGTTGTCATACCTGTTGGGATTTGTACTTTGAGCCTGCAGTCCAATAAGCCCCCCAGATATTTCTGACACCCCCCCGCCCCGTACCTCCACCTCACCTGAAATAGTCTCTAAGCCAAAACAGTTCTTTGGACCAACACAGGACAAGGACTCATGTTTCTTAACTCAATGGGTATATCCAAATACAGCAACGATCAAAACCACCTGTTTTTGTTCAACATGCCTGCCATCTCCTCTCTGTGAGAGGAGCTATTTGGTCCTCCAAGAACACAGCACACATCCATTGTTATAAAACGCTGATGCTTTTATTCTTAAACTTCTCCCCCACTCCTTCCCCAAAGTTTCTTCCACCTCTAATGTTACTTTAATGGTCTAATTATTGCTGCTAATACCAATGCTGTTCTCACCTAACACATATCCCATCCTTTCCAGACATTTACTAGCTCTGTTACCCTGGACAAGAAAGAAAGGGTACCTTGCACCTTATGACACAGTTAGGTATTGAGTTAGGCAGAATAACAGACTTGTAGTCAGGAAGACTGAATTCAAATTTGACCTCAGACACTTTACTGTTTGTTTCAATTTCCTTATCTTTATAATGGGGATAACAGCAACCATGTCTCAGGGTTGTTGTGAAGATTAAATGAAAGAATATTTATAAAGCACTTTCCATAACTTCAAATATAGAGAAAAAGGATCAACTCAAGTGCTTTCTGTAAGCACTAATTCCGAGGCACATTAGATAGGAATAAAGGCAGAAATATGGTCTCTACCTTCAAACAAGGCGCTTACACTCTAACATGGGAAGCAACATGCAAGTAACTGTACAAGTTATGTGCAGTGTAAATGGAAGGAAGGGAAGGGACTAGCAGTTTAAGGAAAGGGATGGGAGGCTGGGAATAGACCAGAAAAAGACTTAAGATATGATTTGTTTTTAAAGAATGGGTCATGTTGTGAAGAGCTTTGAATGCCAAATGAGACTTTTACTGAGTAAAGTAAGTGGCATTATCAGACCTGTGCTTTTAGGACAATCATTGCTATCTGAGTGGACTGTAATGGGTGGAGGCTTGAAGTAAGGAGACCAAGGCTATATATCGCAAAGAGTGTGGTGATGCTGCTGCATCAGAATAGGCAGATATGTGGAGGGAAGAGCACACCTACAAGAGATTGTGAATACTAAAATGGCAGAACTTGGTAACACTGGATATACAGGGAAAGTGTGAGGATTTGAAGAAAAAACACTAAGGTTGCAAGCCTGAGTAACTAGAGGGACAATGATACACTGAAGCAGTTAGCAGGACAGTTTGGAAGAGGAGGGTTTTGGCACAAAGGTAAATGCTGTTTTGGACACGTTGGTTTCTGTGACTGGCAAAAAGAACAGTAAAGATGATGCTTATTCCATTAAGACAAGGGTACCAGGCACTATCAATAAGGCAGTTATCACACTGCCTGTTCTGAGGGGCCTGGGCTGACATAATGGCTCCATTCTGGGCTTTCACTGCTTTTCATCTGCTGGAATATGTCATTTAGTTCCAGCAGGACTCTGCCTCAACCTGTTCATTTTAGTGTCCCTGTTAAATAAGTACTGCTCTTTGGTGGTAGCCGTAGGGAAACTTATGAAAGACTGAATAATTTCAACTTAAGGACAGGAAACCTGGAGCCAGTGACAAGATTTTCTTAAAACTATTCTGGCAGCAAATCCTACATTAGAGGTTAAGAAGACAACAAAGCTGTTGCAATAATTCCTAGGTAGGGAATGGGAAAGAGCTTAAATTAATTAGGAATGCTTGTGGAAGAAATGTAGGGGCAAACTGGTGAGGCAAAAGAACGACTTAAAAAATCCCACCATTACAACCACAAACAGAAAAATTATTGGCAATTACTTGGAAAGAGGATGAATGAAAGCTGATGCATAATGAACGTATACCATTAAAAGTCACTAATCATGATGCTAAAAAGGACCTCAAACATGTAGACCAACCTCAACAAATGCACAGCCAACCTCTACTTCCAAATGTCCAAATTCTTTACTGAAGTGGAAATATAGTTCCCTCAAATATCATGGATCTAGAATTTGGGACTTCAGAGGTCCAACCTCCTTCGATTATAAAGAAGACCTAGGGAGGCTTGTCCAAGGTCCCATAGGTGTGTTGGGTTTCTATCCTCTATTAGTTTTGTTTAGTCTTGTTCAACTCTTTGTGATCCCACTTGGGGTTTTGTCATTTCTTTCTCCAGCTCATTTTACAGATGAGGAATGGAGACAAACAGGGTCAAGTGACTTGCCCAGGGTCACACAGTAAGTGTCTGAGGCTGGATTTGAACTCATGAAGATGAGTCTTCCTACCTCCAAGCCCAGCACTCTATCTACTTCACCACCTAGCTGGCTCACTTTTATAGCCTTTCAAATATTTTTAAAGCTACAACCCTCATTTCTTGGGTCATCTTCCCCAAGCAAAACACACTGATTTCATTTAACAGCAAATTTGTGATATCAGATTTCTGAATCCTGACCACTTGAATACTTTTCTCTACCCTTTCTAGGTGCTTAACTGCAGACTGTACCTTCCCCCAAATAAGACTTGCATAAAAACTAAACATTGCCTATAATTGCTGTTTTTCCATATATAACTTCCCTGAGAACAATCTCATGGAACAATCTCATTTTAACAATGGGAAATGTCTGTATACTGTAAAGCAGAGGTAGGTGTCACATGGGCAGCCTGAATGACCCAAATGACAATGCAGTTGGCAAACGTTAATAGGTGGTTTTCTAATTCAGCATCTCCCCCCCCCCCCCCCCCCCCGTTTTAGTGGCTCCTGTTTCTATTTGAGTTAACACTTACTACTATAGATGGGTAGCTAGGTGGTATAAGTAGATAGATCATGAAGAACAGAAGAATTCGTGACCAAACAGGAGATGGAGAACATTATGAAAAGCAAAATAGATAATTTTGATTACATTAAATTGAAAAGTCTTTGCACAAAGCCAATGCAACTAAGATCAGAAGGAAGGTAGAAAATTGGGAAAGAATTTTTACAACCAGTCTCTCTGATAAGGGCCTCATTTCTAAAATATATAGAGAATTAAGGTAAATTTATAAGACTACAAACCATTCCCCAATTGATAAATGGTCAAAGGATATGGACAGTTCTCAGATGAATTAAAGCCATCTACAGTCATATGAAAAAATGCTCTAAATCATTACGATTAGAGAAATGCAAATCAAAACAACTCTGAGGTACCACATCACACCTATCAGATTGGCCAACATGACAAAACAGGAAAATAATAAATGTTGCAGAAGATGTGGGAAAATTGGAACACTAATGGTTGGTGGAGTTGTGAAATGATCCAACCATTTCGGAGAACAATTTGGAACTATGCCCAAAGGGCTATAAAAATGTGCACACCCTTTGATCCAGCAATAGCATTTTTAGGGCTATATTCCAAAGAGATCATACAAATGGGAAAAGGACCCACATGTACAAAAATAGTCATAGCAGCTCTTTTTGTGGTGGCAAAGGAATGGAAATTGAGAGGATCCCCATCAATTGGGGAATGGCTGAGCAAGTTGTGGTATATGAATGCAATGGAGTACTACTGTGCTATAAGAAATGATGAACAGGCTGACTTCAGAAAAACCTGGGAAGACTTGTATGGGTCTGATGCTGAGTGAAGTGAGCAGAACCAAGAGAAACTTGTACACAACAACAGTCACGTTGAGCAATGACTAATATTGATAAACTTAACCCTTCTCAGGAATACAAGGATCTAAGGCATCTCCAAAGGCCTCGTCATGGAAAATGCTATCCAAATCCAAAGAAAGAACTATGGAAGTTGAATTGCTATCATCTTTTTTTCCTCTTCTGTTGAGTTGTTTCCTCTTTCTAATGGTTCCTCCTATAAGTTTTAATTTTTACTTACAACTTCACTAATGTGAAAATGTTTAATAGGAATGTAAATGTAAAGCCTATTATCTTGGGGAGGGTGGTGGGGAGGAAGGCGGAGAAAAATTTTAAATTCAAAAGCATATGGAAATAATTGTTGATAAATCAAAATAAAGTAATAAATTTTTTTAAAAAAAGTATAGATCACCGACACCTCCAGAGACAGCCCACTATACTTTTGTCTAGTTCTAATATGTACTCCTCCCCCTTGAACTGCTCTGGCAGGCCCCCTCCCATTTTGGTAGTGATGAGAACATTCTGGCTCCAGAGTCACAGTAAATAGATTTAAATTCTACTGCTGTGCTAATTTTTGTTTAACCATGGCAAGTCACAACTTCTCTGAGTCTCCTTTTTCCTTATTTGTAAAACAAGGGGTTTAGACTAAACTAGATCAGAGTGTCTTAATCTTTTTTGTCACAGATGCCCCCCCACCCCACCCCGCAGTCTGGTGAAACCTATAAACCTCTCAGAATGTGTTTAAATACACATAAAATCAAATCATAATGGAAACTATATACTAAAGTTACTAAAATATCAAACCCTCTAATTTGCAACATATCTAGCAGTGGATCTAACAACTACAGTAATTTCAAAGTAGTGATAAGTCAAAACAATATACTGTTATCCAGATACTGTGGTTTGTTGTCTAATTTATCAACTGAAGGAAATGCTAAACTACTGTTAGAGATCAGTAAAAATAAACCCCACCCTCCCCCCAATCACTAAGAACCCCTGGACTAGATGACCTGAGGTCCCTGACCACACTTGATTTGAACTTCTGACAAACCCTTTCCAGACCAAACATGTTCAGTTTAGTCAACATAAAGTGTCTACTAATTTATTTGTAAGACAACTAGCTGGGGAAGGAGTGTGCATTTACTACAAAATGGAACCACAAACATACAATAATTGGGGGAGCACTAACAATCGGGGGAATCAGGAAAAACTTCATGAATATGGTGCCTGAGGTTAGTCTTTAAAGAAGCCAAGGCAAGGATATGTGGAGGAAGTGAGGTAGCACAGTCCAGGGTTGAGGAACAACCTATATAAAGGCAGAAAATATGTAATGCCAAACCTGAGGAACAACGTGAAGTAAAAGCTATCATTGTAATTAAGTTGAAAGGAAGGATTCAGATTTTCAAAGATTGAGGCTCTTGACTTCCTTCAAGTCCCAGCTACATACCCATCTTCTACAGGAAAGCTTTCCCAGTCCTCTGGATTATTTCCACTTTATCCCAGACATAGCTTGTTTGTACAGTTCTTTGCATGTTGTCTTCCCCATCACATGAGGGCAGAGACTGTCTTTTACCAGTGCTTAACAAGTAATTTGAACTTGATAAATGTTTACTAATTGATGAACACCTCCCCCACTCCCTTGATTGTCACCCTCAAACTGACCACTCCTTCCTCCTCTCCCCTTGTTTGCCTTGCTGGCTCCTTATCTACTCCCTTAATTTGAAGGCCTTCCTAAATGTGGTTACAGAACAGAAACAGGGAAGTTTGGATTTGGGGGAGAATGGGATTTCTGCCTTGGCTGGACATGTTAAGAATGAGAAGCTCGAGCCTCTGGTTTCACTCCAACTTAGACTTAGTAGAACAGTGACTACTTCAATTTTTTTTTGTCTTATCCTTTATTCAAGGCCTAGTTTCAAACCCCATCTCTGCAGAATACAAAAAAATAAAGCACAGCTAGAATATTGACACATACTGATTACAATCAACAAGCATTTATACAAAAAGCACTGTACTAAGCAAAAAATTTCAGAAGATGACTGTAGTCCTAAAGGGCAAAGCCTAGTAAAATAGGACACATTACAAAACAAGGTATAATAAAAGCAGACATCAGAAATGCCCCAAGGGGAAAAAAAATAAATCCAAGCTAGATGGTTGAAATAATCAAAAGTAGTTTTAGGCTACTTATACATTAGTACACTTTTCTAGTAACAAATATTTCCTACTTATTTGTCTTCCCAACTGCATTTCAAGCTTTAGTGAAGGCTAGCACTGACATAGATCATACATTTAGAGTTGGAAAGAATGTCAAAGATCATATCGTCCAGATGAGGAAAGCCAGACTTAAAAGAGAACTTTCCTAACCTGTCCAAAGTAATAAGGGCATCTGAACCCAGGACTACAAATTCAGCATTCTTCACAGGACACCATTCTGCCTGTGCCTCCTAGCACATGCTAAAATACAAAGAATACATAGATTCACAGACTTAAAGAGGGCAGGTAAGGCAGTATTACTGGGGTGAAGCAGAGTACAACTAAAAGAATAAATTTGTTTACATTGATACACGCCATTTAGTGTACAAAAACTACTTTTGTTTTACTTCATCATGTAACACCCTTATCTTTTATGGGGAAGGTTACTTCTTATGCCCCAGTCTCGTAGTGATCTCTTCTTTGGTGTCTCTGAAAAATCCATTTGTTGCCCTACCTTCCCGATTCAGAGCTGTGTGACTGGCCCTTACCTTGATGGCTGTGATGGCAAAAGCTATTTTCCGCCGTCCATCAATGTTGGTGTTGAGCACTCTCAAAATGTGCTGGAACTTCTCGGGGATTACAAGAGACTAGGGGATCGAGACAGCAGGGAGGAACAATTTGGGTAAATATAAGTCAGTCACACGGCGTACAACATCAAGAATTCCTTACATAGGCAAGAAGAAACCCCAGGTTACACGTTAACAGTTATGGTAGCCAGACCCTTTCCTCTGTCCCTTAGATACATACAAGGGGGTGAGATCACCCGCCCTCAGGCACACAGGAGAACCAGGAGGTTGGTCATGCCTGGGCATGACCCTGGAAGCTCCCTAAGAAGCCGAAAAACGACGGTAAAGTGTGGGAACCGAGCCAAGGAGGTGAGACTCCCTGCCTTCGCGCAGAGCCACCCCCGACTGGAGGTAGAGGATCCAGGGTGACACCCGCCTCCCCCAGCGCCATTCTCCGTCCCTCCTCTCCAAGGACCCAGGAGCCGGTTCCACACCCGAGACCTTCCGCCCTGGCCTAAGCGCGCGGGCGTGCTCAGCAATCTCGCCGGCAAACTGCAGCCCTCTGGGCCGGGTCACCCTCGAAGAGTCCCCAGTTCGGTCCGTAAACCCCCGACCCCGATGTCGCCGGATCCCCAGATCGGGTTGGGAGCCAGCCTTACCATGGCTGCAACGGCGGCGTGAGAGCCTTCTCTGGAAGAGGAAACGGAACTTACGTATTCGCCTTATATAGCGGACCTCGAGGGCGGGGAGGAGGGGGAAGGGGGGGGAAAAGAGGCGAGGGCTTGTGAATGCAAGACACTTCCTGATCTTACGCGTTTGCAGTGACGCCACTTCCGGGAGGGGGGGCGTTCCGAAGGCGAATTCCGGGCCTTCCGTTGTGCACTTCTAACTCCCGTCCGTTCTGGAAACGAAGGCTCATTGAAGTCAAGGTCCCGAGCAGGAAGTGTGCCGATCCCGGTTTCCAATAGAAAGCTTAAGCGAACAAGCCTGGGGATTGGCGGAACGATTTTCACACGTACGCCTTTGGGCCACAGCGTCATTCTTGCTCCTCTCTTGGGTGTCCTGACTTGGTCCTCTCTTCCCCTCACCGTGCACCCCACCCGTGGAGTGGACGGACGTGTTTTTGACGGACACCTGGCGGAAGCAGCCGAGGGGGCGGGACAGCGGCGGCAGGAATGGCAGCCCCGGAGTTGATGCTGCGGGCCGGGGCCTCGGACATGGACGAGGACGAGAATACCCTGGTGAGGGGGCCGCGTCTGCGCGCCCCCCGCGAGGCTGGGGGTGGGGCGGGGCTTGTGCGGCTGCGCCGAGCCCGGGCTGTCGCTCACCTCCCGGAGCTCCCCAGGTGGGAGCCCGGGGCCGCCGCCGCCGCCGTGATTGCTTTCCCGGGGGAGTGGCGGCTTCACTGTCCACCCCCATCGCCTCAGTATTTCCCTCTGATGACAGGCCCGTAATCCCAATATACGAGCATTTTTTTCCACAATGGGTGGGCTTTGGTGGGGGGATGCCCCTCCTTGTCATATTCCTTCCCCATCTCGTCTGCTAACTGCTCTCTCTCTAGGGGAGCGGCCCTGGGCTCCAGGAGCCTCTGCAGCTGGGAGAGCTAGATATCACGTCTGATGAATTCATCCTAGATGAAGTAGATGGTGAGGGATGATTAGTTCCTAGGAAACTTGGTGGGGGGGGCGAGGGGAGGGAGTTTCAAAAGTGAGGAAGGGCTGCAGGAAGTTGTGGCGTGGAGCAAATGCCTGGGTTCCTGTGGGGAGGGGTCTTGGGAGGGAAAGAACTGTATGCCTGGATCTTCATGACTTATCTCTGCTTCTAGTTCACATTCAGGCAAATCTAGAAGATGATCTGGTAAAGGAAGCTCTTAAAACGGTGAGACCTCTGTCCCTTGTCCTCCATTCTTCCATTTCACACCCGGTAATCTTTCCCAATGTCTTCCATACTGAGATTCCCTGATGTTTTTCTCTCATCTTAATCAGTACTCATTAAGCCCTGCAGAGCATCAAGCTCTGTGATTTGTTTTCACTTAGATTGTCTTCTTTCTGGTCCTTCCAGGGTGTGGATCTCCGTCAGTATTCAAAGCAGGTGGAACTGGAGCTACAGCAGATAGAACAGAAATCTATTCGAGATTGTATCCTCATGGGAAGAAGATGGGGCTTTCTGTCACTGACTTTAGGGGTGAGGTGGAAGGTATAGCCAAGATTATCTTCTCTCATCCCAGGTATGGCGCATGAGAAGGTGGGCGCTTGGCATGTGAGGGTTCTTCAGAGATTTGGGGATCTCTGTCCTTTATGTAAATCTTCTTAACTGCCCATGGCTCAGATATCCAGGAAAGTGAGAACATTGCATCACTACACAACCAGATCACAGCCTGTGATGCTGTCCGAGGTTAGTAACCCATTTTTTCACGTGATCCCTAAGATTCTATGAGATCTGAATTGGCATATAAACACTGATAGCATTTCTAAGGTAAATTGAATGAACCAGTATTTATTTAGTGCCTATAATACGCTAACTTAGTTAGTGCCTATAACAGACTAATTTAGTGCCTGTAATAGTGCCTATAATGCACTAAGAGCTCTGCTAAATACTTTAATACAAAGACAAACATGGATTAGTCCCTGCCTTCAAGGAGCTTACATTTAATGGGAGGAGAGGGACAGATACAACATTTATATACAGGATACAAGTTACTTTTGGGAGGTGTTGCACTAATAACTGGAGGGATCAGAAAAGGCTTCATGTAGAAAGTAGTGCTTGAATTGAGTTTTGAAGGAAACCTGAGATTCCTCAGAGACAGAAATGAGGAGTGTGAGTATTCCAGATATGGGGGAGGGGACAGCACACAGATGGGAGATGGGATGTTTGCGTGAGAAATTGTAATTGGACTGGTATAGTCGGAACATGGAATGCATGAAACGAAGTAATATATATTAAGGCTGGAAAGGTAAGAAGGGGCCAGGTTGCAAAGAGTTTTAAATGATACACAGAGGAGTTTATATTTGTTCTCGGAAGCAATAGGGAGGAAGTCATTGGAGTTTATTAAATAGGCAGTGACTCAAGTGGTTTACCACTTGCATTGCTCCTGTACCCTAAGGACTATGGGGTTTTTCCACCTGACTTGCAGCTGGAATCTCCCATGTATGTTATCTCTCCCTGTTAGAATACAAAAAGCAGGGACTGTCTTGCTTTTCTATTTTTTATCTCCGTTGCTTGGCACATATAAGTGCTTAATAAAGTCTTTTTCACTCATTGTGCTTTAGGAAAGTTACTTTGAGGGCTATGTAGAAGATGGGTTTGTAGTGGGAAGAGAATTGAGTTGAGTCAGGGAGACTAAGTAGGAGGCTGTGGCAATAGTACAGGCAAGAGGAGATGAGGGCTTGAACTAGTCTGATGGCTGGAGGAGGGGAAAGGGCTGGATGTGAGAGGTGCTAGGGAGATAAAGAAACTATAAGATCTGGAAACCAATTAAATATGTAGGATGAGAGAGAATGAGGAGTCAAGTTCAACATCGAGGTTGTGGTGACTAGGAGGTACCTTTGATCATAACAGGAAAGTTTGAAAGGGTTGAGTTTGGGGGACAAGATAATGAGTTCTGTCTGAGATGTGTTGAATACCATATGCCTGAAGGATATCCAATTAGAAATGTCTAGTAGACAGTTTGTGATGAAGGACTGGAGCACAGGAGAGAGACCTGGCAGGGATGAATGTATAGAGATGGTAAATGAACTCATGGCAGCTCATTCGGTTACTGACAGATAGGGCTGGGAGATGAGAGGGCCCAGGATGGATTGTTGGGGTATACAGATGAGGGAAATGACATGGATTACAATCAAGTGAAGAAGAATAAGACAATGCAGTCAGGCAGGTAGGTAGAGAATCAAGAAACAGTGTCACAAAAACCAAGAAGGGAGAGAATATCTAGAAGGACAGGGTGGTAATGTCAGGTTATAGATGTCAAATGAGGCGATGTCAAATGTTATAGAGAGGCAAATAAGGATAAAGACTGAGAAGATGCCATTAGATTTGGCAAGTCATAGATCCCTGGTGACTTTAGGGAGCAGTTTCAGTCCTTGATCATGAAGTATAATACATGATTGTGAGATCAGGGCTGCGACCATCCTCGTGTGTGACTGAGGTAAAGTGGAAGAATACGTCCTGGGAACTGAGCAGATTAAGAAACACTGCCCCAAGACCTGATGTCCTTCACGTCTCTCCCATGGGACCAGGTACTAGAGTCAGATGAGAGTACATTAGCCTTCCTTCCCTTCTATGAGTCTCATAATCCGTGTCCTGTGGTGATCTAACCTCCTTTCGTTCATAGAGCATTCACAGACATTTCTGCAGGGATACCTCAACCCCTTCCCAAACATCTTTGCTCCAGCTCCTGTAATGATTCTGTTATCCTCCATAAGATGTCACTGAGCCCCTTCTATTTCCTTCCCTTGTAGCGCATGGAACAGATGCTGGGTGCTTTCCAGAGTGACCTCAGCTCCATCAGTTCCGAGATCCGGACACTACAGGAACAATCTGGAGCCATGAATGTTCGGCTCCGGAACCGCCAGGCTGTGCGTGGGAGACTTGGGGAACTTGTGGATGGTTTGGTTGTACCCTCTGCCCTGGTCACGTAAGCCATTTGATATCATGAATTGCTTGGGTCACACAGTAGAGCCAGTACTGTATGTTTTAGACAGATTAGTGCTTCCTTTTCTTATCAGATGTCATAGAGTCAGGTAAACTTGGGGTGGGGTAAAGGTTGTTCAGTAAAACTGAGGAATTTGTGGTTGATCTAATGAGCATTTCCTCTGGTCAGATCACTTGAGTCAGGGGTCAGAAAATAGGAATTATCTTGGGTCAGACATTTCTTGAGTGGTATCACTAGAGATCCCATAGGAATCAGGGGCATTATTAAAGTCACATAACTACTTCCTGCCCTCACAGCTCAGGGGATGGAGAGGAGTCTTGATAAAGGGACAGTTATTCTTGAGGAGGGTTTCTGAGGTGCTTATTTTCTCTTTGCCACACCACAACTTGCCATCTCCTCTTGCCCATACCCAGGGCAATCCTAGAGGCACCAGTGACAGATCCTCGGTTCCTAGAACAGCTTCAAGAACTCGATGCCAAGGCAGCTGCTGTCAGAGAGCAGGAAGCTCGTGGGACAGCAGCCTGTGCCGATGTCAGGGGTGTGCTGGATCGGCTTAGGGTCAAGGTGGGGATGAGGATGATAGTACCCCCAGTGGCCTTTGAGACTTCCAGAATATTCCCTCCCCACTCCCCAAATAGATAATGCCCTCTATCCTCCAGTCTCTAGGAAATTCTATCAGAAATCTTCAGAAACTCTGAGAAGTTTCCTTTATCAATTGCCCTATTAATCTTTCCCAATGGGCGCCCATTTCCCTGACCTCCTCTTAGCTGTGAGAGGGGATATGGGTCCTTTCCTTACAATATGTGGCCCTTTCCCATCAGGCTGTGGCTAAGATCCGAGAGTTCGTCCTGCAGAAGATTTATTCATTTAGAAAACCGATGACTAATTATCAGATCCCACAGACTGCCTTGCTCAAATACAGGTCGCAATTGGGGGACAGGGCATGAGGAGGGGCATTGGGTTTTGGGAGAGCCAGGGTAGAAGGTTGGGGGAGGGGTGTCTCTTTCTGAGCCTTCCCATGGAACCGTTGCCATGGAAACTGCAGGTTTTTCTATCAGTTTTTGCTGGGAAATGAGCGAGCAACAGCAAGAGAGATCAGGGATGAGTACGTGGAGACGCTGGGCAAGGTTTATCTGTCATACTCACGCTCCTACCTGGGGAGGCTCATGAAGGTTCAGGTAAAACTAGAGGGAGTTAAGGGAGGCAAATCCAAGGGGGAGGGGAAGGAGGACCCTGCTAAGACACATCTTAGCTGAGCCAGGGGAGGTGGGTATAGACATAGTGCTTTGTTTTGTTTGTTTTCCGGGAGGGGGAGTGAGGAGGAAAAATAGGCATAGGGATAATCATTAGCTTTTTTTCCCTCTATATTTCCCCACAGTATGAGGAGGTGGCTGAGAAAGATGATCTGATGGGTGTGGAAGACACAGCGAAGAAAGATATCCTGAGAGCCAGGGGGTCCTGGCAGAGACTTGCTAAAATGAGAGGGGGATTGACACTAATTCCTACGGGGAGGGTAGCTAGACACTGAGGTCTTGGGTGAAAGGGGAGCCCTGGGCTCCCGGTAGTTGAAGTCTGAATGCTTAGCGATGAGACCTGGTCACCTGGGAGTTCCTGTCTAGACAAACTCTGTGTCTAGACATCTGGAATCTGTAGCAATATCAGGTCCAGCGTGTCCAAATTCCTTTGTTTTCTTTAACTACCTTTTCCCAATCACGATTTTTTTCAAAGCCATCTCTCCGAAGTAGAAACACAATCTTCACCTTGGGGACCCGTGGCTCTGTCATCTCTCCTACTGAGCTTGAGGCTCCCATCCTGGTGCCCCATACAGCCCAACGTGGAGAGCAGAGGGTATGAGTGGTAACAGACTAGGCATTTGGGGTATACTGGGATGTGGAGAGCGGAACTTCTTCAGAGACTGGCAGAGAATGGGAGGAGTAGAGATAATGGGAATACAATATAACCTGGGGCAGAGGGGATGAAGAAGGTATAAGGGTCTCCCTTAGATAAGGAGGAAGAATTGGTGTAGGGGAGATGTCTGTTTCGTAGACATCTTTTACGTTCCTTATTTACATTCCCTGAATACTCATTTAAATGTTTTTCCGTTACCACCGTTGTGATTGGAGGGACACGATGAGCCTTAGGTGGGGTGGGGTTTTTTCCCTAACCTTGATTCTCCTTTGCTCTTTTCTCAAGGCTAACTCTGGGTGAAGTAGAAAAGACTGTGCCAGCCTATGGAGAGATTGGTGTCAGATCTACCAGTTCTAGTCCTCTTTCCCCGCCCCCCACCTCTTCTGTTTCACTCAATGTCTTTCTTGCTCTTAGTATCCTTTTGAAGCACTCTTCCGGAGCCAGCACTACGCCCTCCTAGACAATTCCTGTCGCGAGTATCTCTTTATCTGTGATTTCTTCGCTGTCTCTGGCCCTGCAGCCCATGATCTTTTCCATGCTGTGATGGGTCGTACTCTCAACATGACTCTGGTGAGATTCCCCAGACCTTAGGGACCTAAAAACACTGATACTCCTTACTATAGAGTTCCATTCTCGTAGGACACATTCTCATCATGACCTATGGGAGACCCTGAAATAAGGGCTTCCCAAATCTTGGTCTCTTGAATCCTGCCTTGCCCCGATTCTGAGCTGTGCCATATGGAGGGCACATGTTCATCATGATCTTGATAGGTCTTCTCTCCCCTTTCTCCCCCATTGCCACCTAACAAGGGAACTTTAAGACTTTAAACAGGAAGAAATGGTAGGGAGGTGGGAGACATGAATGAGGATTTATTCCTTTCTTTGATATTCTCTACCAGTGCCTTTCCCCTAAAAAACCACTTAGCTGAGAGAGAGAGTAAGAGTTATACCCATTTGAAGGAATGTCAATTAAATGGTTTTTTTCCTTTCTCTTTTCCTCTTTTCCCCCATGGATGGCCCACCCTGATTTTTACCCCCAATCTACAGAAACATCTGGAATCCTATTTGGCTGATTGTTATGATGCCATTGCTGTTTTTCTCTGTATCCACATCGTTCTCCGATTTCGAAACATTGCTGCTAAGAGGGATGTTCCTGCACTGGACAGGTCACTAATATCTTGCCCTTGATTTTCTTGACCTCTGACTCCCTCACTTAAAGGAAACAATCCTTCATTGAACAGGACACTGATGATCCTCATACCCACAGGGACTTTTCATGCGGAACAGCTCCTTGATTCGTTGCCCATGTTTCCCCAGTCTGTGAATCTCTATTCAACAAACAGAATTTGTTTATAAAAGCAGAGCCCTGTGCTAAACAGTGGAGGAGATTCAAGTTTAGCTATGACACAGTCTTTTCATGTATCTTACAGTCTTGTAGGGAGATAGGATGAAAATGATTTGTTATGTAGAACATTAGAGAAGTGTAAAGTAAATTGTGCTGGGGAGTGGAAAGAGCATCCCTGATTCAGTGCTTCCATCACGGGAGTTGAAAGGCTTAGGCGCTCTGTGAAAAATGTCTGTAGAGAGAAGTCTTGAGTTTGGCTCTTTCACTACCCACTGACCTTGGTCAAGCTTCCTCCTGGCTACTTAGTTTACTTATCTGTGAAGTGAGGGGTTGGACAAGATGACATCTCAGATCCTTATAATTGTAAATTTGTGATCCTCTGTGACAGGGAGGGAGGAGCTTCCAAGGTTGGAGAACAGTATTAATGTGCAGAGGCACAGGGTATTTTAGGTGGGGGACAGAGGACTTTTGCTTGGCTGGAGTAAGGGAAGTCGTGTGAGCTAAGACTGATGAGGTCAGGCAGCACTGGATCGTGGAGGCCTCAGATGCCAGGCAGAGGAGCTGGTGTTTTATGGGGTAGGCATTTGGGAACTGCTAAAGAATTTTGTGCAGAGGAGCGATAGGACTGGATCTACGTACAAGGAAACTTGTTCTGGCAGTAGTGTGAAAGCTAGATTGCCGTTTCCAGTGAATGGATGGGAGGGAGATCTATCAGGGAACCACTGTAGTAGTCCACTAGGATGGTGGCAGTCAAACTGGAGGGGAGGGGATGGAACTGTTAGATATTAAAGTAGAATAATAGAACTTGGCAATTGATTGGATATGAGAAATATAGGCAAGAGAAGAGACAAAGGTACCAGCAAGCTTTAGGACACAAGAGACTGAGTGATGGTGCCTTTCCCTCAGATCCCTGGCCCTTTAGTCTATTTGGAAGGAAACCCAAAGGGATTATACTAACCTGGAACATGTGCCCTTCACCACTGACTTCCGATCCTGGGTGACCCCCAGGTACTGGGAACAGGTTCTGGCTCTGCTGTGGCCTCGGTTCGAGCTGATTCTGGAAATGAATGTACAGAGTGTCCGAAGCACTGACCCCCAGCGACTCGGAGGGCTGGATACAAGGCCCCATTATGTGAGGACAGGGCAAGGGCCACTGTGGAGTTATGGGGGGGGCCTTGGCTTGGGGAATGGGGTGGGGTGACACCCTAGGGAACTTGGGCAGAGCTGAAGGACTGATCACTGGGGGAAGAAGAGCAGTGAATTAAGACAGGTGAGTCTGGAAGACTGAGCAGTCTGGGAAATTGATGTAAAATGTAATTCTCCTTCATCTCTCCTTCCTCAGATCACTCGTCGTTATGCAGAGTTCTCTTCGGCTCTTGTCAGCATCAACCAGACAATTCCCAACGAGCGGACAATGCAGCTACTGGGACAGCTGCAGGTGAGGTGGCGCATTCCAGACCTAGGCCTTTCTCTTAATTGGGACTGCTGGGAGTGAGGGGGGAAGTCCTGCCTTAAGTAACCTTGCTTTTTCTCCATTGTTCCCTTCCTGACTGCTATCCCAGGTGGAGGTGGAGAACTTTGTGCTCCGAGTGGCAGCTGAGTTCTCCTCACGGAAGGAGCAGCTTGTGTTTTTGATCAATAACTATGACATGATGCTAGGCGTGCTTATGGTAACAGATTTCCCCAAAAACCTACAAAAATAAATATCACCCTCCCTCCATTCCCACTCCCCCATCTCAAGGATTCTTCCTCACCCAGGGAAGGATTGCCTTCTAATGAAAGGACCCACTTTTTCTGCTCTTAAGATAGTCTGAATCCCCATCTATCTCAAAATTTGCCTCCCTTCTCTCTCCTTCCTGCAGGAACGCGCAGCAGATGACAGCAAAGAAGTTGAAAGTTTCCAGCAGCTGCTTAATGCCCGAACACAGGTCACTGATTTTCTCTCACCCTTAGTCCCTTCCCTGAGTAGTTAATTAGACTAACTGAAGGAATATTCTTCCAAACCTAGCTCACTCTGAGGTACATGACTCATCCTTCTCCAACCCTGACCTTGTGTATGTGTCCTCCAGGAATTCATTGAAGAGCTTCTGTCCCCCCCTTTTGGAGGCCTGGTGGCATTTGTGAAAGAGGCTGAAGGATTGATTGAGCGAGGGCAAGCAGAGCAGCTTCGAGGGGAAGAAGGTGAGGAAGGCACAGGGAAAAGGCTGAGAGAAAAGAAGAATTAGAGGAGCTGGGAAGAGAAGGGGGAGGAGTTAGACCAGAGGTGTCAAACATGCAGCCCACAGTACTTCTGAGTGCAGCCTGAACCAGATTAAAATGTAGTTCCTATTTGATTTTTATGTGCTGACATAGTAATAAAATGTATGGATAAAGATATGTAATTGTTTGGTTTTCTCAGTCAATATGCAACCTGCAGGGATCCTTATGTACCACTTAGTGGCCCCTGTTTCTATTTGAATTTGATACCACTGAGCTACATAAATGTGGGAAAGTGGGGAAGAAGAGAATACAGGTTGGAGCAGGGGGTGCCTTAAGTTAGAAATCTCTAGGAGGACCTAACCATCTGGGAGAGGAGAAAGCCTTCTAACAGTATCGATCCTGTTTCCTTAATATATTAGCCCGGGTGACTCAACTGATCCGTGGCTTTGGCAGCTCTTGGAAATCTTCAGTTGAATCACTAAGTCAGGATGTCATGAGGAGCTTCACTAACTTCCGAAACGGGACCAGCATCATCCAGGTGACACCTTCTTCCCACCCTCTCATCCTGCTCCTTCCAAAGTTACTGAGGTCAGTCACCAAGGGCCCAGTATCATTTTTGTGACCCCTCACCCCTAATCACTAATCCCATCTTCAGATTCCAACTAGCTTCATTTGGTGGTTCTCAAGCTCTAACCACCTTTGTAACCTTTTATGACCTCTGACCAGGGAGCACTGACCCAGCTGATCCAGCTTTATCACCGCTTCCATCGAGTCTTATCCCAGCCCCAGCTCCGAGGCCTCCCAGCCCGTGCAGAGCTCATCAACATTCACCACCTTATGGTTGAGCTTAAGAAACACAAACCCAACTTCTGATATGATTATCCTTGGGATTCTCCAGGATACCTCTTGATCCATTCTATCCCTAGGATGCCTCCAGTTTTTCAGGGATTAAATTGCCCACCTAATGATTCCCCAGTCTCCAGACTCCTCACACGCCTCTGTTTCCAACCCTGTTATTTCTTCGAGCCTTTGCCAGATTCAGAGTAATTTGGATTCTCATAGCCTACATTGGAGTTCTCTCCAAACTGACACTGTCTTCTTGGTTCTGTGCTTCTAGCCAATAAAACTTGGTGCCTCGGTGGTTTTTTTTTTAATTTCTGTCATTGTTTCTTGGATTCTGAGTTGTAAGGGAGCATATGAAGAAACTGCTATAGATGGGTATAGTTCTCCAGAGTTATTTTTGGTGACAGAAGCCCTAGGGCAGGGGCTTTTAATCATTCCTGTGTCAAGGTCTGTCTGGTGAAGCCAATAGACCCCTGCCTTACACTGAGGAACTTTCTAACCCCAACCTCTTCTCCACACCTCTGAAGCATCATGGAAATATCACTGGATTGGGGGTCAGAAGACCTCAGGGTTAGGAGGTAATCCTACTGTATTCAGCCCTGGCCGAAGCACCTGGAGTTTGGTAAGTGCTGGGTGCCAAACTTAAGAAGAATGTTTAATTGGAGAGTATCCAGAGAAAGGCAGATGTCAAAATCAGGCCATATGAGGAATCGATGAAGGACCTGGGGGTACTTAGTCTGGAGAGGAATTGACAGTTTCACATGCGGAACAGGACAGCTGTCTTCTAGTCCTGAAGTGCTGACATAAAGAAGAGGGACAGGAAGATACACAGATTTGGAGCTCTTTTATATCTAGGAGCCCTGCATGTAATGTGTGCACAGAAAGCTGAGAAGGCCTTTTGCATCTGCTATCTTCCTTGCTGTTGGCAGGGAGGGAATGGTCCTGTAGTGAGACCGGGTGTCTTGGTACATGGGAAGAAGCACTGGCAACAAGTCACAGAACTTGAGTCCAGCCAGATCCCTTCTGTGTTCAGCTCTCTACCTCTGTAACCTTGGGCAAATCACTGGGCTTCAGTTTCTTCATTTGTAAAATAAGGGGGTTGGTCTAGTCTAGATGGCCTTTAGAGTGCCTTCCATCTGTAAAGCTGTAAGCCCGTGAAACAAATTAAAGAAGCGGATGCGTGGACGCTGCTGTTCCCGGCAGTTTTAGGAACGACACTGATGAGCTGGAGAGTGTCCAGCACAGGACCTCAAGGACAGGCTCACAGCCACCGGGCATGTTGTCCAGGGGCGGGGTTAAGTAAGGGAAAGGGTTGCTCCCTCAGTTTCTCTGCGTCTCGTCTCTGGTCTAGTACTCCTCTCCTGCTCCCGCCCCCGTTCACCCCCAAATTCCTAAGACTTCTGTGAAGGCAGGGATCAGCACCATCCTGAGAGAACCCTCTAGCCCCAGGTTATTTCGGGACGTTCCAGTTTGCTGGCAGGCGAGCGTGTGACCAAGGGTGTCTCCTGCAGACATGCCCGGACCGGACCTGGACCCGGGAGCATTACAAAGGTGGGTTGGAGTTCGGAGGCGGGCTTCAGCAATCTCCATGGCGACCAACCACCGCCCTAAGAGACAAGGAAGCCAAGTCACCTTTTGTGATTGGTTGGAAGCTGGGTAGGGGAGTGGGATCAACCCTTTTTCTTGAGCTGCCCAGGAAACCCCGCCCCTCCACCTTCTCTAAGACTCCACCCCCCCTCCGCAATCCGCCCTCTGATTGGCTTGGAAGACTCTCGTTCTTCCCTTACCCCTCCCATCGTGGCCTCTGGTAACAGGGTGGGGAAGGCTCGGCTCTCAGCTCAAGTTTGGGACTTCTGATTGGCCCGAGGGCTTCGGGAGGCGGGGTAACGTCTTGTGGCAGAGCTTCCCGCCCTCCAGCCTTACTTTACTTCAGTTGCCTAGGCCAGCTTCACGTTCTTTGTTCACTTTCCTCCTCTTCCTTCCGCGCCTACGTCCTAATCGCTTTCGTTCACCCATTGGATTGGGCCGGAGGTTTGGTGGCTCCTGGGGATGAGTCACGAGGTTCTTACCCCCAAGTTCTGCGAACTCTGGGTCAGCACCTACTCAGAACTATGCTTGTGGCCCGTGAGCTCCCAGGGACTGGGGCTGGGCCTGGACTCGGGAAGACCCAAGTTCAAATGCAGCCCTAGACGCGCACTACCCGTGTGATTCTGGACGAGTAATTTAATCTGCCCCAGTTTCTTCAGCTGCAAAATGGGGGTGATATCACCTACCTCCCAGGGTCGTGTGGAACAGATGAAGTGTTTGTAAAACACCTGGCACACAGTAGGTGCTTAATAAACGCTTAAAGCACTCTGCAAACCTAAAGCAGTTATATAAATGCTAGCTATTATTATTGTTATTATATACTTTCACCATCCAACCAGAAGATATAGTTTAAAGCAAAGGACATTTAATTAAACAACAGAGCAAATGAATTGACCAAAAAGACGAAATATGCTCTCCCCTGGATTACAGTAACACCAGTGGGGGAGGGCAAGCACATAGAAAATGTGTGTCAGGGTACACGCATTGAGAACACATGAAGCCAGGGAACTTTCTGTGTAAGTGTCCACATGTTAGGAGCCCAGGTGGCCTTACATGCAGGTGACTCATAGCTACTGTGAACCATTTACCAAAGGTTTGGTCTAAAGGAAAACAGAATCAGTTTCCCCCTCAACCGAAGGTTTGCCCTAAAAGCAAACAATGGGGTTCCCCCTTACCAAGGGTTTGTTCAAGATCAAATAGAATGGGGTTCACCTTAACAAAGCTTTGACCAAGGAACAAACAGAATCAGGCTGTATGTGTGCTGTAACGGCTTACTTACTCTCATTAATCCTGCATGATGGAGTTAGAAAATAATTCTGAACCAAGAGATAAACAAACTGAAGGAGACCCTTTATACACTTAGAGTAATCTAAATTCAGTATACTTGTGTCAACCAAAATCATAGTCTCCATCAGTGTTAACCATAATATGGGAAAGGAGGTTTTTTTTTTTTTTTGGTGAGGCAATTGGGGTTAAGGGACTTACCCAGAGTCACACAGCTATAGTGAGTGTTATGTGTCTGAGGCCAGATTTGAACTCAGGTTCTTCTGACTCCAGGGCTAGTGCTATATCCACTGCACCACCTAGCTGCCCCCAAGAAAGGAGTTTCTTAATAGGATAATTGTAAATACAATAAGATAAGAGAATGTCAAAGTGTCTATTGAAATTATAGATCCAGGATGTCAGTGTTTCTTTTATCATTAACATGACATAATATAATAAGAAAAGTCCCATTATTCAAGATAATTGTCTGATTCAAGGCACCTTGTCCTGGGCAGTCATAAACAAAAGAATGCTCCTGATCAGCTTCATCTGGCCTTGTAGCTGCTGACACAGGAAGGGGCATTTTGGGTTCACTCAGAGAGCAAGGCAAAACATGAATGTTTTGCTAGAGCACATAAGGCATTGTGGTAGGTTAAACTCAGAGTGGGCCAAAAATGTCTTTCTCCTGATTAGCCAATCCAGGTTTTAGGCTTGTAAGTAAGGAAGATGTTGTGGCCAAAATAGATAATATTTTGCAGGAATTGTGGCTGAAAATAACTTCTGCGCAGTCGAAGTAGAGATATGAGTGACACAATGTATGCCTTCCCAGTGCTAGGTCATGATGATATTGCTAAAGTTAACTGTGAGCTTAATGTTGGCAAGATGTCCTATAAGGCAAGTGGGCACTGGTCAGTAAATGGGGAACCTATTTTGGGATCTGGGAATGCATAAGGAAATGCCTCCACTGGCCCCCGTTGAGGCTTGAGGGGATTTAAGGGAGTGCACAAGCTGGAATGCTATGCCTATCTTAACTGACCCCATGGAGAAGTAGGGCATGCTGCCTCCCCCTTTCTGGCCCACCCTTGCAATAAGGGTGATTAGGGGATCCTGTAGGAGTTGGTGCTCCCATTATCAGGAACCCATTGAGATAGAATAGTAAGGATACAGTGAGCTTATTTAACCCCTCCAAACTCCTTCCTGTCCTTCCGGCTGCCCAGATCAAGAGTGAACCTGTTAAAGGCTGGAGCCTAAAAAAACTCCAGTGCCTCCTGTGTTGTTTCTTGTCCTTATGAGGCCTTTCTCAGGTGATGGGGGGCTCAAAATGGTTTACACTATCATGCTATAAAGTTGCCTGTGTCCTCTGGGGACATCATTATTGCTCCAATTTCTTCTAGACCTTTCATCTTTGCTCTATGTCAGGCAGTCAGTCATTAAACGTTTATTAAGCTCCTGTCATGTGCCAGGCACTAAACTAAACACGGGAGATACAAAGAAAGTCAAAAGCCCACCCCTGCCCTTAAGGAGCTCACAATCTGATGGGGGAGACAAAATGCAAACAACTACGTACAAACAAGATAGAGTAGGATAAACGAGGGAAATCAATGTAAGGAAGGCACTGGGATTAAGAGAGTTGAAGGGAAGGGAAGAGAACAAGCATTATTTATATTTCACCAGGTACCATGCTAAGCACCCTTACAAATATTTCGTTTGATCCTCACAACAGCCCTGTGAGGTGGGTGCTGGCTGTTCTCATCAGGGAAAGGCTTTCTGTAGAAAGTGGCATTTTAGCTGGAACTTGAAGGAAGACAAGATGCTGAGCTGAGGAGGAAGAACATTCCAGGCACGGGGGACAGCCAATGAAATCTCCAGGAGTAGGGAGATGAATTCTCTTGTGTGGTGAACAGTAAGGAGGCCAGTGTCACTGGATGGAAGAGTAAGAGGGGGATGACTCTAATGTGTGCGAAGCTTGGTGATTGCCAAGATACCCTCTGCTACCACCTACCTGTGAGGCTTCTACTATCTATTCATCCTCTCTGCTGTTATTAGCTACCATCTACTGGGCTAGCTTTTTTGGTGCAAGGCTGAGACTTATAAGCCAATTCCTATTCAGGCAGTGAACAAAAAAGGCAGCAGACTAAAACTAGGTTTATCCTTTTGACTGCTTTTCAGGGTCCTTGGTTTCAGACAGCTATCTAACTTCAGGATAGAAAACTCTGGTTGAATCCTGGATTGTGCGTCCGCATCCCCCAAATCTATGTCAGGGACTCTTCCCCTCAAACTGAAAGGGATAAAGAGGTTCCCCTCGTTTCCTATATGATCTTTGGCCTGCATATAAGAATAAAAACTAAGTGAAGCAAGTAGGCCACCATCCTCCCCTTTTGTTTCACATTCCTGACAACTCTTGCTTATTCTACCTTACAGATTTTCAATGTGTCTCTTTTGCTTCCCTCACCATCTCTCA